GTGTGTGTGTGTGTGTGTGTGTATGGTTGCACAGGCGCAGGCCGGGATGGCGTGTCAGGCCCGGCGCTGGAAGCAGCCGCAGGAAGAAGCGCCGGCTCTGACCTGCCTACACTTTTGATTTTTTTTAAGCCGGGCTGTTCTTCTGAGGAAGCTGCTTACTTCTTGTTTCTCCAACAGCAGGAGTGTTGGGACGAGGGAGCAAAGGGAACGCCTCTTCTCAGAGCGTCCCCTGGAGGGGTCTGGAGGGTCCCCAGCCAAGTGTGGGTAAAATCCACAGCAGCCCTGACTGCTGCCCGCCCCGTCCTGCCTGGGCTTGGCCAGGACTCTGCCTTCATCTTCAGGTCACCCCTGGAATGGGGGCGGTGCCCCTGGACCCTCCAGTCAGAGCTCAGGAAATGAGGGTGTCCTTCTAGCCTCTAGTCCCTCCTGTCCACACGGGGACGATGCCTCCAATCCCTCCCGTCCACATGGGGGCGATTCCTCCAATCCACCCTGTCCACATGGTGGTGATGCCTCCAATCACCCCTGTCCACACGCACGCGGGGGCCATGCCTCCAATCCACCCTGTCCACGTGGGGGCGATGCCTCCAATCCACCCTGTCCACAGGGCGGGGGGGGGGGCGATGCCTCCAATCCCTCCCGTCCACATGGGAATGATACCTCAATCACCCCCCCCCCCCCCCCATCCACGTGCTGGCGATGCCTCCAATCCCTCCAATTCACGTGGGGGTTGATGCCTCCAATCCACCCTGTCCACACGGGGGTGATGTCTCTAATCCCCCGTGTCCACTCAGGGCCGATGCCTCCCATCCCTTCCGTCCACATGGGGGCAATGCCTCCAGTCCCTCCTGTCCACGTTGGGTGATGCGTACTGTACTCCTGTCCACATGAGGGCGATGCCTCCAATCCCTCCTGTCCACGTGGGTGCAATGTCTACAATCCCTCTGTCCACACTGGTGCTTCAGAGGGCCGCCAAAGGCCCCCAGAGCTCCAGGTGCCGGGTCCCTTGAGAAGCTTCCATCCCAGGCTCTGACTGACTGGTGGGGCCCCAGTGCTTGTCCCTTGGTCAGGCGCCTCTGTGGGAGGGGAAGGGAGTCTGGGGGACTGTCGGTGGGGAGGGCCCACAGGGGTGTGAGTCTGTTCAGCATTCACCACCCCCCCCCCCCGAGGGAACCCCAGGCCCCTCCATCATTGAACGCCCTGACCCAGTCTGCGACCCCTTTGACCACAGAGAAGATCAAGAAGAGATGTGCTGTCGGCAGGTAGGGTGTCGCCTTGCACGTGGCCGACCCGGGTTCCATCCCCGACACCCCGTATGGAGCCGGGAGTCCGCCCTGAGCACCGCCGGGTGTGGCTGCTCCGCGAGAGGCGACTCCTAGTCTGCACTGCGGAAAGGCGTGTGTGGGGTTCTGGGGGCCTACTGGGGGGGGGGTTGTTGGGGGATGTCCTATGTGTGTGGAGCTGGTGCATGTGCATGGACTCCTATGTGGGGGCACGTGTGTTGGGACTCGTGTGTATGTTTGTATATGTATGTATACATGGTATGTGTATGTGTGTACGTATGTGTATGTGTATATGTATGTTTTTGTGTGTATATATACACATGTGCGTTTATATGTATGTGTACGTTTATGTGTATATGTGTGTATGTGTATATGTATGTATATATGTGTATATGTGTGTATACATGAATGTGTGTATATATGTGTATGTGTGTATATATGTATGTTTATGTGTCTATGTTTATGTGTATATGTGTGAATGTGTATGTGTGTATGTGTGCGTATGTGTGCATGTGTGTTTATATGTGTGCATGTGTATGTGTGTATATGTGTGTATGTGCATATATATGTTTATAAATGTATGTGTGTACATGTATATATTTGTGATTGTATATGTGTATGTGTGAGTATATGAGTATGTATGTGTACGTGTGTGTATGTGAGTGTGTGTATATGTGTGAGTGTGTGTATGTATGTGTGTGTGTATGTGTGCGTGTGTGTGGGATGCTCCTTTGTGTGTGCCCGGACCCGGTGGCCCTTGGGGTGAGGCTGCACTCACTGATCTCGGGGTGCCGGCTGCAGGGCCCCCGAGCGGGTGGGCAAGCTGGGTGATGCCTTGGCAGTGCGAGTCATGGGCCCCATCGTGGGTCCTGCAGCAGCTTGGTAGTACGAGGTAGCTGAGAGGGCACAGGGGGGGATGGATCGTCCCCCTGGCTGGGAGAGCAGAGTCCAGCTGCCGCGGTCACTGCTTCTCTAGCCACCCCAGGCCAAACTCGTGATCCTGTGGCCTGCTCCGGGGAGTGGCCACCAAGATCGCTGCCGGGAGCCCGTGGGCTCTGCTTTCACTCCACGAGGAGGGGGTGGGTGGAGAGGGAACTGGGTGTGCTTGGGGGGGCTCCTCTTGTCTCCCCAGCAGTGCAGGTGGTGGTGGTGGGCCCGTGGCCAGCCCCTCTGGGAGGCAGCTGCCCTGCCCCACTGCACAGTCGGGCCACAGCTGTTCCTGTCTTTTCTCTGTGAGCCAGGATTCCTCGCTGCCCCTCACCGGGGTCAGAATCATCCGGTTTGACCTGGTGAAGGGGACAGTCTGTCACATATAGGGACTGGAAGGACGGCTGCGGGCTCGGGGCGGGGGGGAGGACTCAAAGCACCGGAGTAAAGGCTGCATGTGGGAGCCCCCACTCCCCGCTCTCTCCCCGACACTGTGTGGTCCCCCAGCTCTGCCAGGTATGGACCAGGAACCAACAGACAGGAAAAATGAGAACTTGTGTTATGTTGTGTTAGGGGGCTGGGTTGTTCATTTGTATTTTTTTTTTTTTGGCTTTTTGGGTCACACCTGGCGATGCACAGGGGTTACTCCGGGATCTGCACTCAGGAATTACTCCTGGCGGTGCTCAGGGGACCATATGGGATGCTGGGAATCGAACCCGGGTTGGCTGCGTGCAAGGCAAACGCCCTACCCGCTGTGCTATCTCTCCAGCCCCTCATCTGTATTTTTCTTAACTTGAGGATTACTGCAAATAATTGGGGGTGGTGGACATGAGACACCCAGAGGTACTCGGGGCTGTTCCTGGCTCTGTGCCCAGGTCTGGCCCCCGGTGCTGCTCAGATCATATGTGCTTCAAGAAATGGATTTGGGGTTGGCTGCATACAAGACCAGTGCGTGTCTCCCTGTGCCAGCTCTTCTGCTCTGGGTAAGAACCTGGTCGTCGGCTTAGTTTTGGTTTTTGTTCACACGGAGTAGCGGTGCTCAGGGCTTACTCCTGGCTCTGTAGTTAGGGAATCACCGCTGGGGTGGGGGCCTTAGAGACTGTCTACTGTGCTAGGATTCAGACCAGCGTGGGGCCACATTCACCCCCAGAGTCCCTTTCTGGCCTCGAGAAGCATTGTTGAGGATGGCTGTGTAGATTGTCGTAGGCTGGGCTGACTCATGCCCTGTTTCCCTTTGATATTTACAGCTGGCCCTGTGTACCAGAGGTTCCCTAAGTGTGATACTTAGCTCTGGGATGCTCTGGGGGATGATCGTAGTCTTGGGTGCAATCAGGGCATTTTCTGCCTGTTCACACATTAGCACCAGCACCTGCACTTCAGTTTATGTTAAGTCCATCTGTCCCCTTGCCAGAGTACACCCCTGTCAGTGTGATAAAGAAAATAGAAATCTGAGGGTGTCCTTAGTGATTTTTTTTTTCTGAAAAATGAAGGGTAAACCAGGTTTGGGAACCTGTGCTCTGTATCCTGGGAGGATGGTTCCAAGAACCTCTTGGACCCTGAGTCTATGGCGTGTCACATTGCTGTTTTCATCTGACTCTGCTCACCTTTTTGTCTAATTCGGTCCTCTGGATGATCCGACATGGCCGACACAAGGCAGGTGCCCTGTCAAAAGAGCCGTCCCGCTGTGTCACTTAGGAAATGACAAGGAAAAACTAGTCTGTATGTGCTTGGTTCAAAAGTAACTATTTCTTGGGACCAGAGTGATAGTACAGCGAGTTGGGCATTTCCCTTGCACACAGCCTCCTGGGTTCAATCCCCTGCATCCCCTATGGTCCCCCAAGCGCCGCCAGGAGTGATTCCTGAGTGCAGAGCCAGGACAAAACCCCTGAGCATCACTGGGTGTGACTCCCCCACCAAAAAGCAAAATAAATAAAATCAATAAAATAAAATCTGGTTTCCATTAAAAAAAAAAAGTATTTCCAATGTGTTTTCCGTCCACGATGGGTTGAACCATGGCTACGATAACCCACAAACCCAGAGGACAGACTTTACTTCTGTAACCGTGGCCCTAGGAATTGACAAAGGTGTGTTGTTCCCCCGGGTACTCTCTTCTTAGGATGAAATTCTGGGCGCGACCAGAGAAGAAGCTTGTCTGCCAGTGAGCACACGGTGGTATACAAGAATCCATGGCACTGAAGCATTGGTTTTTGTCAGGAGGCCCTGGGTGACTTTTGCCTTCTTTGGGTCAAGAAGACCATGAAATGGGGCCGGAACAATAGCACAGCGGGTAGGGCGTTTGCCTTGCAAGTGTCCGACCCAGGTTCGATCCCCGGCATCCCATATGGTCTCCCAGACACCGCCAAGAGTAATTCCTGAGTGCAGAGCCAGGAATAACCCTTGAGCATCTCTGGGTGTGACCCAAAAAGCAAAAAAAAAAAAAAAAAAGACCATGAACCTTGGTCACAGCATCTAAATCTGAGTCCACGTGCCTGATTAAAGCAGCGTTGGCTCAGAACAGCAAGAGTGATGGTGACCCTGGCTGGGTCAGGTCAGCCTTTCCTGCTGTCCGAACTGGCAGGGGTTGCGATGGCCATCAATGTGAGCCCAGATCTGGCCCAGGAGACCCTGTCTGTGCTGCTCTGTGATGGCAGTGGTTCACTGGGCCATTCCGTCCACGCTGGCATGGGTACTGGTTGAGTTTTCTCTCCTTCTCCTCCTTCTGAATCTCTCTAGTGCTCGTTTCTGTCCCCTGCCAAGGGCCAAACTCAACATCGGTTCTTGTTCACGCAGACTTCAGCAATGTCCCCGACATCTCAGCCTGCCTGAAGAGGAGTCGGACGGATGGCTCGCTGGATCGGGCAGCCCGCGGGGAGAGGCCGGAGCAGACCTTCCGGGTGAGTCACTGGTAGCCTCGCCTCACACCCACTGGACCCCTGCTGCTCAATTTTCATTGGCCTGAGAGCTGTGCGGAATCAACTAGTCTAGGTTTCCTACCTTTTCCGGTTTTTCTTTCTTTTTTTTTTAATTTCATAAAGTAGTTCACAATCTTTGGTTACATTTAATATTCAGACACCAATCCTACCACCAATTACACTTTCCCACCATCATATTTCGGGTGTTTCCATCCCGAACCCCAATCCCTGCCCCAAAGCAGAACCAAAATAATACAATATTTCCCTCTAAGGTTGGTTGCCTCCTACTTGGAGCTCCATCAGATGTGGTGCGGTACTCTTGGATGATGGGTAGTGTGTGTGGTATGAAGTGTCCAGGAATAGATTCACTCGTGGGTGAGGCTCGGCCTGAGCATGTGGAGAGTGGCCATGAACGTGGCGTCGGTTGAATTCTGAAGGTTTTCGGCTGCCAGGGCTGGGTCCCTTGGGATGAGGAAGGGTCTCACCTGCCCCGCTCTGGGGCGCCTTGAGTGAAACTTTCTGGCGCGGGGTCCGGAGGCATGGTTATGGCACGGGACTCCAGTTTCTCTCATTGATGTCATCCGCATTTCCTGCCAGCACCCCCCATCCTGCCTCTGCTGTTTTACTTTCTTGCAGAAAGTCATTATTATTATTATTAATATTATTATTATTATTAGAGATAGCACAGCGGCAGGGTGTTTGCCTTGCACGCAGCCAACATGGCCGACCCGAGTTCGATTCCTCCGCCCCTCTCGGAGAGCCCGGCAAGCTACCGAGAGTATCTCACCCGCACGGCAGAGCCTGGCAAGCTCCCCGTGAAGTAGTCGATATGCCAAACACAGTAACAAAAAAGTCTCCAATGGAGACGTTACTGGGCCCGCTTGAGCAAGTCGATGAACAATGGGAGGACAGTGATGACAGTGATTTTGCTTTTTTTGGGGGGGGGGGGGTCACACCTGGCGATGCACAGGGGTTACTCCTGGCTCTGCACTCAGGAGTTACTCCTGGCGGTGCTCAGGGGACCATATGGGATGCTGGGAATCGAACCCGGGTCGGCCACGTGCAAGGCAAACGCCCTACCCGCTGTGCTATCTCTCCAGCCCCTATTATTATTTTTAAAAGCGGTGATGCTGTGTTGTGATCCCTCGCCTTCATTTCTTTTTCTAAAGCGACTCTACCTGAGCGAAACAGGGCAATGCCGGCTCTCCCAAGGCAGGGGTGCCTGGAGTGGGGTGAGTGGGGGGTTGTCCGTGGTGAGGCCTGGGCTATGTCATTGAAGGCATCAGCGTGTCCTGGGTAAAAATGGCGTAGAGAGTTCCAGCAGGAGACTAGGTGGAACAAGGTGTGTGTGTGGGGTGGGGGTGGGGGGGGGGAGTACGGGAAGGAAGCAAGGTCGGAGGGGACCCCGGCTGAAAAGTCTGGGGAACCCTGCTTTCCAGGCGCTCGGGGAAAGGGGTCCTCTTTGCTCTCACCGGCTGGAGGTGCTCATCGAGATTCTGTCTGTCGTGCTCAGGGGTCCTGGCAGCCAAGCTGGGTGCGGTGGGCCTCCAGGGCTCTCTCCGGGGTGCTGGGGACCACCGGAGATCAAACCTGGGGCCTTGGGCTGGTTGCCAGACATGTGCAACAGCCCTCCGAGCTACCTCCCAGCCCCCCATGTTAAAATTATTTGGGGTGTGGGGGGAGGGACTTACAGGTCAGGGTCTATACCTGGTGGTTCTGCGGTGCCAGGATTTGAACCAGGATTCTGGCTGCAGCCACATGCTTCCCGGCCCTCATGTTAAAGAGATTTGAGGTTTTTTTGTTTGTTTGTTTTTATTTCCTTGGTTTTGGGGCCACACCTGGTGAGGCTCAGGAATTACTCCTGGCAGTGCTCATCAGGGTCCTTTTGGGATGCTGGGGATTGAACCTGGCCACATGCAAGGCAACTTCCTTCCCCATTATACTATCACGCCAGCCCCTGCTCACGTTTTTTCTTTTTGGGTCACACCCAGCGATGTTCAGGGGTTACTCCTGGCTCTGTACTCAGGAATTACTCCTGGCAGTGCTCGGGGAACCATATGGGATGCCAGGGATCGAACCCGGGTTGTCTGCATGCAAGGCAAACACCCTCCCTGCTGTTCTATCGCTCCAGCCCATGTTAAAGTTTTTTTTTTTTTGCACTTTTTTGGGTCACACCCGGCGATGCACAGGGGTTACTCCTGGCTCATGCACTCAGGAATTGCCCCTGGCGGTGCTCGGGGAACCATATGGGATGCCGGGGATCGAACCCGGGTTGGCCGCGTGCAAGGCAAACACCCTACCCACTGTGCTATCACTCCAGCCCCCCATGTTAAAGTTTTTAAGACAGTAATTCTTCGCCACGTTTTACTGGAAGATTTGGGGCATGTCGAGCCTGAGCTGTGCCGTTCAGGCTAGAATTCTTGGTGCGTGGACAGTGGGCTGTGGGGGCCGTGTCGAGCTGCCACCCCACTTCCACTCATAAACCAATCAGAGGAGAGAGCCAGGAATAGGGGCAAACTCTGGGGAAGGCTTGCGTGGAAAGGAACTCACCTCCTCACAGCTGAAGAGATCTGTTCTGTGCTCGTGAGTTCCAGACCTTTTGAGAGGCCAGAGAGGAAGGTCTTACTGAGCTGCTGTGTCCTTTGTCCCTGGGGAAGGAGTCGGAGGGGGGGGGACTGTGAGCTGTCATAATGGAGATGGGAGGAGAGAGCTGTCAGTTTGCTCAGGAGAAGGCTGTCTCTCTTTCTTTCTTTCTTTCTTTCTTTCTTTCTTTCTTTCTTTCTTTCTCTCTCTCTCTTTCTTCCCTTCTTTCTTTCTTTCTTTCTTCCCTTCCTTTCTTTCTCTCCTTCCTTCCTTCCATTCATTTCTTTCATTCCTTTCTTTCTCTCCTTCCTTCCTTCCTTCCTTCCATTCCTTTCTTTCATTCCTTTCTTTCTCTCCTTCCTCCCTCCCTCCCTCCTTCCCTTTCTTTCTTTCTTTCTTTCTTTCTTTCTTTCTTTCTTTCCTTCTTTCTTTCGACTTTTTTGGTCACACCTGGCAATGCTCAGGGGTTACTCCTGTTCTGCACTCAGGAATTGCTCCTGGCTGTGGTTCGAGGGACCATGTGGGATGCCGAGGATCAAACCCGGGTCAGCTGCCTGCATGGCAAATGCCCTCCTTGCTGTGCTGTCACTCTGCCCCCAGGAGAAGGCTTTCTGTTCTTTCTCTGTTTCTTTCCTTTTTGGGTTTTGAACAAACCTGGTGATGCTCAGGGCTTACTCCTGGCTCTGTGCTCAGGGATCACTCCTGATGGCTCACATGTAGTGCCAGGGGTCAAACCCAGGCAGTCCTGTGTCAGGCAAGAAGAGCTTTGCCCCTGTTGTCTCTCTGTCTCTGTCTCTCTCTTTCCTCACTGTCTCTCCTTTGTCTCTGTCTCTCTCCTCTCCCTGTCTCTCTCTCCTTTGTCTCTGCCTCTCCTCTCTCTGTTTCTCTGTCTCTGTCTCTCCTCTCTCTGTCTCTCTCTCCTCTCTCTGTCTCTGTTTCTCTGTCTCTGTCTCTCCTCTGTCTGTGTCTCCTCTCTGTCTCTCTTCTCTCCCTGTCTCTGTCTCTCCTCTCTCTGTCTCTGTTTCTCTGTCTCTGTCTCTCCTCTCTGTCTCTTTCTCCTTGCTCTGTCTCTGTCTCTCCTCTCTGTCTCTCTCTCCTCTCTCTGTCTCTGTTTCTCTGTCTCTGTCTCTCCTCTGTCTGTGTCTCCTCTCTGTCTCTCTTCTCTCCCTGTCTCTGTCTCTCCTCTCTCTGTCTCTGTTTCTCTGTCTCTGTCTCTCCTCTCTGTCTCTTTCTCCTTTCTCTGTCTCTGTCTCTCCTCTCTGTCTCTCTCTCCTCTCTCTGTCTCTGTTTCTCTGTCTCTGTCTCTCCTCTCTGTCTCTTTCTCCTTTCTTTGTCTCTGTCTCTCCTCTCTCTGTCTCTCTGTCTCTATCTCTCCTCTGTCTGTATCTCTCCTCTCTGTATCTCTTCTCTCTCTGTCTCTGTGTCTCTCTTTTCTCTCTGTCTCTGTCTCTCTTCTCTCTGTCTCTGTTTCTCTGTCTCTCTCTTTATCTCTGTCTCTCTTTCCTCTTTGTCTCTCTCTCTCTATCTCTGTTTCTCTATCTGTCTCTGTCTCTGTCTCTCTCTGTGCCATTCTTCTTACTGACGCTCTGAGACCCATCAGCCTTTTTTTCTGATCTCCAGGCAGGCGTTTGGGTTTGTCCTGCGCCTCTAGTGTGTATGCCGGGCACCGAGCTTTGGGGGGTGAGGGCGGCGGGGGTGGGGGGCCACCCAGAGCCCGTCACCCCTTCCTGCCTTTGTTTCCTGGGCCGCTCTCCCTGCTCCCTGTGTGTGGGGTGGGGTCAGAACCTTCCTTCCAGAGCAGACTCTGCTTGGACCCGGGCGGGCGGCTGGGGGCATTTTACCGTCTTCCCTGCGGACTCGCATGGGGAATCGCTTGCCTGAAGACCAAATGCTGCGCGCGGAGCCCAGCTGTAAGGAGGGATTTGACAGCCCCGTAATTTCGGCAAATGGTTCCTAATTGATTGCCTTCTCTCTCCTTGGGTACTCATTACTGTCACCCCGCTTTGTGCGCCCTGTCAACCTCCCCTGAGCGGGAGGGGGGCTCTTTTTTTGTTTTCTCCCCCTTGTATTGTTAGCAATTAGCTCGCACCATTGCAGTAGTTGGGAGTTGGGAAGAAATAAACAACATCTTTGGGCGAGGGGCTGAGTTTCTGGCATGTCCGGGGGATTTGAGGTGTGTTCGGCGCTTCCTCTCCGTGGTGTTCCTGCCTCTGCCCGGCGGCAGCTGGCTCTGAAGGGTGGCATTGGGTGACTGCGTGGTGTGGCCCCTAAGGCAGACCCCCCATCCCCCATCAGGTACAGGCTCACAGCGGGGGGGCCACCAAGGGAGGGGCGTGTTCAGCCCCAGCCTCTGTGCGCCTGGCTGGAAGAGCTTGGGGGCGCTCCGCTGTCCTCGCGGG